TTCTCATCTAAAAATATGCAACAGGGCAAGTGGGCACATTTATGTATATCAAATACTTTTTTGTATAGAAAAACCAACGTGGGTCGGGTCTAGACATCCACACCGTAGCAAACCAAAGTTCGAATCCAGGCTGAGAGAGGTATCCACGTTTCTGGTACGCATTGCTTAGGAGGACTAGCGAACCAAAGTTCGAATCCCGGCCGAGAGAGGTATCCACGTGTCTGATAAGCCTTGATTAGGAGGACTACATGATACATCTAATGGAGGAAACTTATTGGAAACCAAAAAAAACTAGTATAGAAGATATTTTATTTTATTTTATTAGCTTGATCTTCATTATTTTGTATCTTTGTTGTTTTCTTTCTTGATTATATGGGTTTAATCTGGGAAGTCACTGTTTTACCCATATGGATTTAGCATATTAAAAAATTGATTCTAGTTTCTTATTTTTTATAATAACTAGTCAAGATTGAATATTAAACTTTAGCTGTTGAATTTTCAGATGAGATCAAAAAAAAGTCTTTGGCCGCAAATCGAGGCCACTTTCAAGCAGATGAACGTCGCTGCAACAGAATTCGAGTGCTTTCAGGCTTTAAAAAAGCAGGAGCAGTTAGCTGCATCACATAGGATAAACAATCTTTCGTCTGAAGTTCAGAAGCAAAAGGAACTCGAGAGAACTTTACAGAAGAGATATGGAGATCTTATGGCAGAGCTGGAAAGGACACAAAATGTAATGGAGCAATTCAGGGTACAAGCACAGCAGAAGGAAGAAATTGAAGCAAAGAATCACGCAATAGAAGAGGTACAAGCAGAGCAGAAAGAAGAAATTGAAGCAAAGAATCATGCAATAGAAGAGGTACAGGCACAGCAGAAAGAGGAAATTGAAGCAGAGAATCAAGAAGCATTAGAAGAGGTACAAGCACTACAGCAAGAAGAAACCGAAGCAAAAAATCATGTACTCGAGAGTACTGAAGCTACAGCTGATGAAATTAATGTGGAGGAGGGTACAGAAAATTGTGAAGCTCCCTCAGCTGACCAGCAAATCGCCACCGTGCAAGATCAGGCTACTTCTAGCTCCAAAATTGACATGGATGTGGATTCTAGTGAAGCACAAATGACGCACAGCACCGTTGTTACATTGCCAGATGCACCCGCCGCAGAAGATGAGAGTGCAGAAGTTGTAGAAGGCAAAAACATTGGAAGTGATATTGATAACAGAGAGATAACAGTTGATTTTAGTGCTGCAGTTGAAATAAAAAGTAATGAGGGAAATGGGGAAGGTCAAGATGTTGAGAACCCAGACGAGGTTATGGAAGTTGCAAACCAACCTGATAGTAGCATAAAAGAAACTACACCGCTCGAGGGCATGCAAGTTGCAATAAAAAGTAATGAGGGAAATGGGGAAGGTCAAGATGTTGAGAACCCAGACGAGGTTATGGAAGTTGCAAACCAACCTGATAGTAGCATAAAAGAAACTACACCGCTCGAGGGCATGCAAGTTGCTGATGGTAAAGAAGATGAAGCAAATTAGGCTTGAGATTGTATCAGCATGTTCTAATATTAGAGTTTGAAGAGTTGTTAGTCAAACCCAGATATCAAAATGATTTATTTATTTGGATGATCATAAGTTAAGGTTTGGGACGTTTTGTTTTACCAAGTTTTGCCCTTGTTACTTTTGTAAGTGGATGTTGGTGACGAGCTCTTTCAGATTTTCACTTAATTAGATTTGATTGCACCATTTCCTCTTAAAACTCCTTTAAGGTGAGGCAAACTATCAGCAAACTGTGAATTTCCTAATGTACTTTTTGGTCCATTGACATGACGAGCTTTGCAAGTGTATGCCTGCTACTGCTAGAGTGTCGAATGGTTCTTAACCCTGTCATTTCATAATATATTCTTAACAAAAAAGTTTAAACAAAATGATAATAATTATACATGCCAAATGCATGTCTTAGTTGAAAGCGTACATCCTTTCTGGGATTAAATTCTTTTCTCCCTCAACACTAGACATTTTAGTGGAATAAGGAATCATAATGAAGATGTTGCTGCTGGTCCAAGGTATTTTTGTTGAACCAATATCTGTTCCCTAAAACGATAACATAAATGACTTGGATAATTCATTGTAGATTTTTAGCTAGGGATAATAGCCATTTCGTCCATTTGCCATATTAGCGAGGTTTGAAAAACACCTCTTAAAAAAAAGTTTGAATTTTGGATTCCTAACATATTTGGATGCTGTTGTTTTGACCCTTCCCTCCATCCAATCAACAAAATCTTTATTATTTTAATGTTTTTTTATTTATTTTTTAATATCACTTCTTTAATAGAGTCATATGTGGCATTGTAAAAATGTTAAGCATGTAGTAAAAAATCAGATTTATAATTAGTGAATACTTAATCTCAAAACCAAACCATCACCGCTGTCATCAGTTTCTTGCTTACAGTATCCTCAACATTGTGTTTAACTCATATATGGCCATCGACGTTTTTATCGAGACAGTGTGTGGCAATTTCTAGCGCTTCTTTGTCATCACTCACATGGAAGTAACTTTTATTAACACCAGAGATCTTCCTCTACAATATGAAATCATCAAAGTCTCAATCCTTAACTAAGCTAATGGCCTCAAAGTAGCTCCATCTATCAGGATCTTGTCCTTGAATAGCAGTTTCATCCCCACCCCTATAAAACATGAAATTGTCGTGCACAAATTAGTCACCATGATGAAATACGACAATCATGACGCTCATTTCTGAAATTTAACATAAACAATCAGCCTTTGGGACTACAATATTCATTTGGGACCACGACATTAAACAATAGTTTAAGATACACACAAGATAATAGAACATCTTTCGACAACAACATTACAGGAGTATTAAATGACATACCTTGTATAGAACTTGATGACTGCTTGAAAATCTTGTATTGCAGGGGTTCAAATGGAATTCTTGCTCGTCAAATGGAAGAAGAGGAAAATGATTTGGGTTTACAATTTGGAAACATTAGAGGACATGGTTTGATTTTGGGATTATTAACTAATCATAAATTTGATTTTTTTACTACATGCTTAACATTTTTACCATGTCATATATGTCTATTTTAAAAAAGTAATATTAAAAAAAAATTAAATTAATGAAGATTCTGCTGACTGGATAGAGGGAAGGACCAAAACGACAACATCCAAATGTGTTAAGGAGAAAATCTATTTTTTTTTACGGGGATGTTTTCCAAATCTCACTAATATGACAGAGGACGAAATGATTATTATCAATTGATTTAATAAAAATTGATTTTGTCTAAAAGGAAATACAATAATTATTTGTTCTCTAAAACGATAACCTATAAATGACTTAGATAATTTTTTATAGACTTTGAGCGAATTGATTCAATTGAGAATATTCAATAAAAATTAATTTTGTAAGTATCCAATTATTCTATTGAGAGTTAACTATATGGATTTACTTTTGCTATGATGTTTTATATTTTTTTTATAAAAAAAAACAACGGAAAATTAAAACTCTTGGAAATTGAATTTTCAAAGAATCTACTAAACATATACTATTAATTAAATGAGAGAGACAAATAAAACACACTTTCAATGAATAAACGAGACTCCTAATTTAACAAGTCAATTAACACTACATTTCCTTCTCGTAAGGTGTGAATAAGGGAAAGACAAGCTATCACTCTTTAAGAATAAGAGATTTGATATAATCAACCAGAGGCACACAAGTATGTGTAGAACACACACCCTCTTGAATATACTTCAGAGCTGTTTGAGAGCCCGACTCACAAAACACATTTTTGAAACTATGATTCTAAACAATATCAAGACCATGCTGACTTGAAACTCGACATTAATATTTGAGGTGAAACCACAACTTCCTGCAAAACTTGTGATCCAACCTCTAGAATAGTTTCTCAAAGACCACCAAAATCAGTTAGCCTTGGATTACCAATAGAACTACTATCTACATTAACTTTTATCACATTCTTTGGGGAGGGTGTCAAGACACAAGTTTAGGTGCTGAGAACTTATTAGAACTACCAAAAGCCTATTTGATAGAGCGTAAAAAAGTAGTTATTTGACTAAGAATATTTAAGAGAGCGATTATTGTCTTTGAAGATTCTTCGTTACGAGATTTTTAAATTATCCAACAACAAATGAGAAACAAAGGACATGATTGGTGACCACATCCTCATAAAAATGAATTTTGAGATGGAAAATTGAAACTGTTCCAAACTTGCCTGATCTTAAGACAATTTTTTTATAAGTTTTTTAAGTCTATCTCTAATTGTTAAAATGAAATATTTTTCGTTAAGTCTTTTTTATAGTCTTTTTATGTGTTATCTAGAGCTATGTTTCTATCCAAATAATTAATATTGAAATATTTTTTAATAAGTTTTTTATAGTATTTTTAGGTTTATCTTTAATTGTTTAACTTGTCTCCATCTCATTTATTCCCTTTACAATAAAATTTATTGATTTTCTTTCTACACATCTAAACCACCTAAATTTATTTTGCACCTTCTTTTTTATTGCTGATATTGTCTTTTTTTAATCTTATTATGAATAGTTTTATTATATATGTAATACAACATCTTCATCTCTATTGCATTTATTTACTCATCTTTTTTATGTCTAATATTTTATTCCATACTTTATTGTCTGTATTTTAATAAAATTTTCCATTAACCTTGAGCCATATATTTGGATGCTTTACATCCTTCTATTTATGCAAAAGTATTGAAAATGTAAGTTTAAGCATAACAATCTAGATTTAAAAAACAAAAGAACAAAAAAAAAAATCCCTAATATCATCAAGCTTACACTTGCGACACTTGATGAGGCTGTTTTTGAAACATTTCAAGGGCAAGACCTTTTGTTAGGATATCACATCCTAAACACACCTTTTTATTTGCCAATTATTGCAAATACAAAAACAACATAGAACAAATAGAAAAACCAGTCTTAATTACATGGTATTTGCACCACATCTCAGTTTTCAACGGTGGCTTCAAAAGCTGCTTCTAGTCTGGTCTTTATTGTTGTCGAACTCCAATCTTGTTTCCCATCCTACAATATACAAACAATTCTCTATTTACTTCATCATCAACATCATCATCATCGTCATCATCATAAATACATATACATACATATATATAATAGACTAAAAAGCACGCGAACACCATAGACACGTATCAGACACATGACACGAGCTTACTAACCTTTACACATTTGTTGGATTTATAACATGTTCTAGAGACAGAACTAGACTTCCTTATTTCTTCAACTGTCAATGCTCTTAGAATTGGCCTATCACCTCTTTTTCCTATATCATCTTTATTTTCTGATTCAACCAACCAATCCGAGAGGCTGGTATCTACCCCAATTTCCTCCTTTCCTTTTTCTCTTTCCTTCATCTTTCTCTTTGATGAAGACAACACCTGCAAACTAGTCTCTTCTTCAATCCAATTCATATTTTCTTTCTCTTTCTTTATAGGATTCAACAATGCTGCTTTCACCTCTTTCACCTTCCCTTCACTAACATTCTCAATTGGATTCACCACCCTGAAAACTTCTTCGTCATCTTGGAGTGCCACTGTTATTTTACTGTTAACTTCATTATCAACTTTTTCGGTTGATGAAGATAAAATTCTTTTTCTATTACTAAAATCACTCGATAGAGAAAACAAAGAAGACTCTGAAGACCCTTTTTCTGTTTTCTCATTGTGAGAATCATCATCATCGTCGTCGTCGTCGTCATAACAATCTCGATATCTATACACCAACACAGATTGATTCACCCTTCTATCTTCTTCTTTGGAGTTTTGTTTTGGTTCTGGTTCAATCAGGGTTGACCCAAATACCTCTTTTGCAGGATGGAGTTTCATTGGAGTACTGTTAACTTCAATCTCACCAACATTTTCTTCTGCTGAAACTGGTTTTCCACGCCCAATAGAAACAGAAAAGAGTGAATCTGAACACTCTTCTTCTTCGTTGTTTTCTTTGGTCTTTGTTGCTTTTTCCTTTGATTCTGATGATATCCAGTGGATGGATTCTTCAAGGACAGAAATATCATTAGCATTGACGATAGGTTCAGAAGAAAAGTGCTTTTTTCGTTTGGAAGCTGAAAAACAAGGTAAAAAGCACCTCATGATTATTACCAAATACCAATGAATGATTTGTGTAAAGTGGCTTTGATTGAAAAGATGGAAGAAATATTGTTATAGAATTCAATGTAAGTTCGGAAGAATGAAATTCAGAAACAAGAGGAGGAGGAGAAACGGTCATGAAACTGATGGATTTTGAATTTTTTACCGTTGAGAATATCAGAGAATTGGATTCTCCTAATTGGACTTGGGTTGGCCCACATCAATTGTTTTCGAAATTGAACTTTTCCTCGTTGTTTTATGTGAAAATTTTAGGTAATTTTTCATCTCACCCTTGATACTACTGAGAGACTTTTCTTATCAAATTTTATTTTTTTGAAAATAAAATTCAGAGATGTACAATCGAAGTCAAGTTAAAGGTGTGTTCGGAGTTACATCTTCGAAAACACTTTTTTTTAGATAAAAAAAACTAGTTTAGAGATGCAACTCCAAACTAGATGGATTTATTTAAAGGTTACGCCAGATCTTCCCTTTTCTCATTCCTTCTTCATTTTTCAGAAAAGCAAAAGTATCTCTCTACCTCCTCTCAATCCATTTACAGTATACCGTTAAGATCAAGTTTTGAAGCTGCATTATTGTATTTCTTACCATTCTTAACTCCTTCTACCTACAACGTTCAACATCAGAGTACTCTACACCCTCACCAACATATTTAAAAGTAAGTTTCTCATTTAACTTATTTTGATTTTTAATTAATGTATTCGCTCAAATATATTAATTTTAATGCATTAGATAACTCAAATAGGTTAACGTACAAGTTTGGAGACTTTGTTCATACGATTTGGACGAGTTTGGTTTGGTTTGGATGAGTTAGGAAGTTGCAGAAACGGTTCTGCCATTGAAGTTGTCAAAGCTTTTTTCTGGATATGCATATTTGAACTACGTTGTTCCATATTTTCGGATATGCGCATCCGAACTTGTTCCTTCCTCTTATTTTTGTTATGTATTTTCAGGATGGCTGAAAACCAAGAAAGGTTGAGACTTGGGTGACCCATCTTAACTGCCTCTTCTATTCGTGAGAGGGCTTATCAGCACGAGCAGGCTAGAGCCTCCCATATCTTCCTCACGATAGGGAGACGAGAAGCTCTAGGAGTAGTCGACGACCACGGGGATTAAGTGCACACCATGATGAGGATGACCCAATTTCCCCATTTGCACCCCAGGTGCGGTTTGCCGAGGATGCCCCCTTGTAAACCTGTTTTCAGGAGGGCCCAAGGACACGTCCTTACTCATATACTTTGGAGAGCATGTGGCTCCACATGTGAACTCCCTCTATTTTTTATTTTGTATCCAAATTCAACTCAACTGATCATGTTATATTTTATTTTAAACAGGAGCGTGATTGTCTCAAAAGTGTGAATCATGCAAGAAAGATTCACGATATTTACCAGCCCGAGGAAGCATGGTTCCAAAATATACTCCAAAAATCTGGGCCAACTGGTCTTTATGCTATCAGGTACACCAACTTCATCCATCGCATGCATGCTGCATTTGTTGAGAGGAGGCACAATGAGACCTCATCTTTAAATATGCCCGTTGGTGAGATGACTATTACCCTAGATAATATAACAAGCCTTCTACACCTTCCCATTAGAGGAAGGTTGCTTGATTATTCTAAGATCATCGGGGCTGAGGTACAACAGATGATAAAGGTTTATTTGGGAGCTGACCGTGCCGAAGCCTTTGAGCAGTGTAGAAGCACCTGGGATGCACATGCCAAGTTTGCTTGGTTGTCAGACTTGTATAGCAAAAATTTGGAGATAGCCGATCACCCAGACGCTGATGATCTATAGGTTACCTATTACAAGGAGTGTGCCCTGTGGTGCTATTTCCTATTCTTGGTCGAAACGTCCATGTTTGTGGACAAAAGTGCAAATTACGTGGATGTGGCCTACCTCAAATATTTCATCGACTTAGAGACCGTTGGCAAGTGGAATTAGGGGGAAACATGCTTTGTTTATCTGTACTCCAACCTGAACGAAGGTTGCAAATAGACGACGAAGCAGATGACATGCTCATGCACCCTGCTTACCGTAATTTTCAAATTCCACTATTAAGTTTTCAAATTCCAAATTTCAAAGTTGTTACCAATACTTTTTTACTTATTCATTTTTAGGGATGGATCCTTACTTATTATCACCGCATCCACAAGTTTAATCTTGACCCGTTATATACTCATGATTAGACATATTCTTGTCGGTTTGTCCCTAGCAGAGGGAATGGTTATATCTCGTTGTTCCGTGTATATATCAACCAGACTCAGCATGACGACGTAATTTAGAGGCCATATGGTGCTCACCAAGACACAGTTCCATTTGATCCTATTTCCTTATACTTTGGATGGTTGGCATGTGGAACCAACATCATGTTCAAGTATCTTCCTGAGCGGTGCATGCAACAGTTTGGGTACGTCTAGATCATTCTGAGGTCCCCCTTGCAGGCTGTTTCCATCACTATTGTCCGCAAACAGTTGGATAACATTCTGGTGGATTTTGAGAGTCATCTGGCACCAGAGGAGTATCAGAGTCAGGCAGTCATATCTGAGTGGGTTTATATGGAGGGTTACATAACATGGTTCTACAAAGTGTCACACACTTACATGACACACGACGCTCCTCGACGTCCACCTAGGTTTTATCATTAGGAGATCTTAAAGAAGGAGCAGACCATGCACGACCATGTCGTTGATGTGTTGTCACACTGTCAAACTATTATGCGGATTATATTTGTGGGCATCGAGTCTGGAGTGTTTAAGAGAGATGGAGCTGAAGCAGTCGCCCTAGGACATTCCATTATTTTGTTTAATTTTTATCGACCTTCAGAACAACTGTTGTACTAATATATTCAGTTTCTATAATATTCAGTTTTGTTAAAGCTTTACGTGGTTCTATAATATTCGACTTTATTAATCGTTGAAACACATAACGACAATTTTAATCAAATTGAAATTAGTTTCGATTGAAAACACCATAGTAACAGAAAAATGATGCTTGAAAAATCACACTGGAAATAATTCAAAGATGCATCTCTGAATTTTAAGGCAAAGGGTGACTTCAGATATGCATCTCCAAATTTACCTTAGAGGTGTATTCAGAGAGGCATCTTCGAACTAAAAAATAGCATTTGTTGCATTCAGAGATGCATCTCCGAATTCACTCAGGGGCATTTTCGTATTTTCAAGGGTGCGTGCACCCCATATAGCAAATGTGAGATGAGAAATTGCCAAATTTTAACCCATACCTTACATTTATCCCCTTACGCCGCATTTTACTAATTTAGACCAAAATGCTCCGATAAAATTAGTATATTTGATTTTTTTTTCTTCTACTTTTTCACTCATTCGTTTTTCAAAATATTTGATATAGAGCATTTTTTTCCGTACTGAATGTCATTAAAGAAGTTATTCGGTCCACACAACTGAAACGAGAAGTCATTGAGTAAGTGTTCTAATTTCTCAAACATACCGAAACTGTTTTAGAAAGTATTTTGGTCCATTGAAACCACCGAAACTCTTTTTTTAAAGATATCTGGTTTGTAGAAAAACAACATCATAAATATTTATGCAAGTGTTATAGGGGGGAGATTTTTTTAGATGTTGGAAATCTTTATGAAGTGTTTCGGGAGGAGCATTTTTTAGCTGCCATAAATCTTTCATAAGAGACGCAGTTTGACTTTTTTTTATTTAAAACTTGTTAATGTGTTTTTGTTTTCTTTTTTGCAGTGGCACGAATCTGAGGACATCACAGTCGGATCCAAAGACATGTTAGTGTAGGTCGGGGTGATTGAGAGCCGCTAGTTGGCAAGGAAGAGCATATTGGTAGATTTGCATCCACTCCACAACTGATAGGGTTTTTAGGAGTGTCGTACGATATATCTCTTATGGTAGAGTACAAGCATTATGTTGCTCGCCATTTATGGTTCAGTGAGGTAATTAAATGACACTTACTTTATTTTGAATAATTTTTAATTTTTAATTTTATGATAGATACTTTTAATTGTTTTCAGGTTACAGGTTTGAAGAAAGAACCGAAGGTTGTTAGACATGGGAGAAAGCTTACATGAAGGGTTCCTCATTGTCTCCTACCAGAGATTGAGAGGTGGATGACTTATTCTGGTCTATCTTTACTCAATAAAATCATTTTGACAAGGATAAACACAAACTTGGTATCAATATTTTGTAGAGAGATGAAATTCATAGACATCCTCATTTCACATGCCATTTGATGAGATGAGCATTACACTGGACGACATTTCTTATCTGCTTCACCTGCCCATCAGAGACTTGTTCTGGACCCCTCGAGATGTCACTGAAGAATTTTTTGTTGCTCTTGTTGTTGAGTACTTGGGAGTGCCATTTAGGGAGATAGCTGTTAGAACAATTAAGGTTTTAAAAAAGACGAGAGAAGAAGAAGAAGAGAGAAAAGAGAGAAACTGAATTATAAAAATTAGGAGTTGTATTGAGGGTTTTTGTTATTTACATCATGCAATGCCTTTATATAGGTAGCTAAAGCCCAGACCCAAAACATGTAAAATACAAAATCTAAAACACTAAGTAGGAAATGCAACTATATTATCCGCAGCTTCTTCGACACACTACTTCGACACTGTTAAACGCTTTGATTATTGAATACTATCTTGTATACAAAACATTTCATTATAGCTTCTAACATACCTCTCGATTCATGTTTTCAAGACTTCTCATCCCGATGCTTCTTTTCAACTTATCAAATCTGGCTTTCTTTAGAGGTTTGGTGAGTATATCTGCTAGTAACATTTCTGTCTTGCAATGCTCAAGTTTAAGGTTTCTTTAATTTACTTGATCCCTAAGAAAATGATGCCTCATCTCTATGTGTTTACTTCGACCATGACACAAAGGATAACTGAATAGGTCGATAACTGACTTGTTGTCGACAAACAACTTTATTTTCCCAGGTTCCTTGATATTTAGCTCTTTTAGCATCATCTCTATCCATGTTACTTGACAT